CAAACCCCTTCGCCTTGTTCTTGCCCTTGGCCCCTCTTGTTTTTCCATTGCAGGGTGGCAAAGGGAAGAAAGGAGCAGGTAGGGAAGCCGAGCCTCCCGCCACAATCAAGACCAAGCCGTGCCCTTCCTTCTTCAACTTCTTTGCTCTCTCTCGTAACATGCGAGGCAATAAAGCCACAGCCCAGCAAAGCAGCAAGGGGGGAAAGAGCAGAGGGGGGGATGGAGAGGAGGGGGACGAGGCGGAGGAAGGGGAGGAGGAGGAAGGGGAGGAGGAGGGTTTGGAGGGTATGCCTGTGTTCGTGGGGGAGGATCTGGGGGAGGTGGTTCTGAAGGTGCCTCAGGAGCGGGTGTTATCTGATGGCAAGATGGACGTCTGGCAGGCGCTGTGCAACAAGGTGCGTGCTGGTTTAGTGCGGTGGAATGGTGTTTGGTGCAGTGGGTAACGAGGTGTGTGTGTCTTTGCTTTGTGGCTTATGTGGTGGCAAGATGAACGACTGGCAGGCAGTGTGCTATGCAATTGCCAGTGTTTGGAGGGGAGGATTTGGGGGAGGTGGTTCTGAAGGTGCCTCAGGAGCGGGTGTTATGTGATGGCAAGATGGACGCCTGGCAGGCGCTGTGCAACGAGGTGCGTGCCGGTTTAGTGCGGTGGATTGGTTTGTTGCCTGGTACAATGATGTGCAGTGGGGTGTGTGGCTAACAAAGAGACGTATGTCTTTGCAGCGGGTGTTTTCTGGTGACAAGGTAAACGATGCGTAGCCATCATGCAATGATGTGAATGGCGGCGGTTCAGTGCGGTGCAATGCAAATCGATGCGTGTGGTGTATATGCCACGGCAGGGCAGCGGGTGCAGCACTGTGTAGCGAGGCATATTATGTTTGCTTGATGGTGGTGGTGGTGATGGATTTTTTCTGAGTCTTCACATGCAGCTTTTGAAAAAAAAAAAAAAAAAAAGTTGCTTTCCCTGTTCCTTCCCGTCCACCCATCATCCCTCTCTCTCTAACCCCCCAGGTGATACCCAGAGCTGCTGACCTGTTCACGGGACAGGGGAGGGAGGTTCACCCTGGGATTTGCTAGAGATTCCCACTGAAGGGGGACCGGATAGAAATGAGGAGAAGAACGGCAACGAAGCTGCGACCGTTGGTGGTGCTGCAGCGCCCAAGGTTGGTTCAGCAGCATCGACGGCAGGCGGCACGAGTAGGGCAATGGAAGCCGCAGGCAGGCGGAAGAGAAAGGCGGAGCGTGAGGAAAAGCGCATGTGTCATCAGTGCCAGCGCAATTACAAGAAGACCATCGCCGTCTGCAGCAAAGTGGACACTCACTGCTTCTGCGGCAGCTGCATCAGCAAGTGGTGAACGCAGGGAAGAGGGGCGAGTGCACGCACGGCGAGATGAGGGACGGGAGAGGAAAAATGGGAGAGCATGGGCCGCTGGAAACCCACTGACACGCTGCGTGTGCAGTTGCTGCTGATGGGTTGCACTGTTTTTCCAACCAAGGTTGGTGGGATGAGTATGCGTGTTGGAGAAATAGTGCAACCCATCAGCAGCGACTGCACACGCAGCGTGTGTGTGGGTTTTCAGTGGCCCATGCTCTCCCACTTTCTCTTTCCCGTCCCTCATCTTGCCGTGCACTCGCCCATGCACTCGCCCCTCTTCCCTGCGCTCACCACTTGCTGATGCAGCTGCCGCAGAAGCAGTGAGTGTCCACTTTGCTGCAGACGGCGATGGTCTTCTTGTAGTAGCACTGGCACTGATGACACATGCATTTTTTTCTCACGCTCCGCCTTTCTCTTCCACTTGCCTGCGGCTTCCACTGCCCTGCTCGTGCCTCCTGCCGTCGATGCTGCTGAACTTTCCTTGGGCGCTGCAGCAGCTCCAACGGTCGCAACTTCGTTGCCGTTCTTCTCTTCATTTCTATCCGGCCCCCCTTCAGTGGGAACCTCCAGCAAATCCCAGGGTGAACTTCTCTCCCCTGTCTCTCCCCGGTCGTCAAATTTAATTGAAAAGTGATCCAACATCCGCCGTCCCCGTTTCTCTCCGTCCCACTCTCCCACCCTTCCTCTCTGGTGGTACCCAGGGCTGCTGACCTGTTCACGAGCATAGGCTTTGGGGAGGGGGGCGGTGGTGGTGGTGGTGACGATGATGGCTGACGATGCTTCCACGCCCCCAGTACACCTTCCCCCTCTCCTCTTCCCCCTCTGCACACACGCCCTCTCAGGTGATACCCAGAGCAGCTGACCTGTTCACGAGCATTGGGTTTGGGAAGGAGGAGGGGGGCGGAGGTGGTGGTGATGATGATGATGCTGACGTGGCAGACGATGAGGGGTACGAGCACGTTCGGCGCCCATCTTCCGGACCTCATCGGCTGGTTCGGCGCCGGATCAGGTGCGGACAAAGGGCGGATTTTGAGGGGATTTGTGTGTGTGAGAGTATGTGTGCGCGTGCGACAGAGTGTGTATATGCAATAGTTGGTTCATGAGGGTGTGTGCATGAGGGTGTGTGCATGAGGGTGTGTGCATGTGCAGAAATGTTATGCGTCTGTTGCACATTTGTGCGGCCTCTTCCCGCATCTCTCCCCCCTCCACTCCCATCAGAGCGTTGAAGCACCTTCAAGAGAAGCAGCAGCAGGCAGAGCGGGCAAGGGAAGCAGCCATTGCTGCTGCTCGCGCCTCTCTGAGTGAACGCTCTTCAGGCATCTTTGCTCGGCGCAAGGCAGTGGTTATTGGCCCCAAGGCCCTTGACAGGTGCGTACTTGGGTTGGCATCTTCAGGGCTCAAATCACAGGCATGTGGGTCTGAGGGTCACCCCGCTCGCGCCTCTCGGAGTGAACGTTCCGCTGGCATCTTTGCTCGACACAAGGCCGTGGTGGTTGGAACCAAGGCACTGGACAGGTGAGCACTGAGCACCTAGTCAGGTCCGAATGGGGTTCGGATCTGGCTGCCTAGTCAGGTACATACATGCAGGTACATGGTTTCCGTTTCTGTCATGTAAACAATTTGATTCAACCAGAAATCAGGTGTGTTTTTGGGTCAGCTCGTGTGATCGCTCTGCCGGCAAGGCAGCGGTTGTTGGGTGCCAAAATTACACATCAAGCCCCCCTCCCCCCCCCCCCCCCCTCCCTTCCTCTCCCCCTCGTCTCTCCCTTCGTCTGCAGCGGTGATCCTTCCCTCGCCCGCCTCCCGCGCTTCTGGCTCCTCGTCCTGCGCTCCGTGCCTTGCCTCGTTGAAACCATTCGCCGTTAAGACCTTCCCCTCCTTACCCTCTTTTCACTGCGATTCCCCCCCTCTTTAACCACCCCCCTCCTCCTGCAGAAACGACCCCTCTCTCGCCCGCCTCCCGCGCCCCTGGCTCCTCGTTTTGCGCTCCGTGCCATGCCTGGTCGAGACTATTCACCGCCGCAACCCCCCCTTTTCTTGCACACCTCTCTAATATTTGCTGGAGGCCGCTTTAGGACCCCCTCTGTCCCCTCTCTTTCCCACCCTCTTTCCTGCTCTAAACCCTCTACAGCGGTGACCCCTCTCTCGCCCATCTCCCGCGCTTCTGGCTGCTCGTCCTGCGTTCCGTGCCCTGCCTCGTTGAAACAATTCGCCGCCGCGATCACCCTCTCCTCGCACACCTCTCTGACATCCGCTGGAGGCCAATTCAGGGGAGAGAAGGAGGAGAGGAAGGGGAGGAGGGAGAGGAGGGAGGGGAGGAGGGGGGTGGGGAGAGGGGAGGAGGTGGAGGGAAGGGTGAGAAGGTCGAGTGTGGGAAGGGAGAGTCGGGGTTGGTAATAGATTTTGAGTTCCTGCCCGGATGCAAGGAATGGATGGCCAATCGTGTGCTCTCAAAGGCGTTCTTTTTTCCGAGCCCGGGCAGCCAGTGGTGGTGGTGGCGGTGGCGCAGGGGCAGGAGGTTCGGCGGGCTCCGAGGCTGGTGGATTGGTTCGGGTGGAGTGTAGGACGCCGATCGTGTGGGAGGAAGGGATGGAGTTGACGCTCAAGGAGGTGCAGGACAGCAAAGGCCAACTTCGAGTCAAGCCCTGCCCCAGGTACGGCATCACCTGCCCCAGGTACGGCATCACCTGCCCCAGGTACGGCATCACCTGCCCCAGGTACGGCATCACCTGCCCCAGGTACCACCTGCCCAGGTTCTGCCTGTTTTTTTAGTGTGGAAGAGATGGAGTTGATGCTCAAGGAGGTACAGGACAGCAAGGCCGCCTTTGAGTCAAGCCCTGCCCCAGGTACCACCTGCAACTGGTACCACCTGCCCCAGGTAGTGAGTGGTACTTAAATACGGCTTGCTTTGTCTTTTTGCCATTGATATATGTGGCTGCTGCTGCTGAACTGATTGCTGCTGCTGGTTTGATCTTTGACCCTTGACATGCAAGGAAAAACATCCTTATGCTGGGCTTTTCAACATCTCCTTAACAATATTCCCCGTTTGCACAACCCTTGCTGCAGCTTCTTCCAGCTGTTTGACGACAATCGCTGCCACCTGGCGTTTGCTGGTGACGAGGCGGTCCACCTGTCGGCCTCTGAGTTACTGGAGAGGGAGGCTGACGTGGCACTGGCCCTGCGTGACGTGGCGATCCCGCGTGCTGCTGAGCTGTACAGGCAGGCTAAGGAGTGGGATCATGGGGATGAGGAGGACGAGGAGGAGGAGGAAGAGGAGGAAGAAGAGGAGTCAGGGGAAGAGGATGAGTACAACGGAGGCAAGGTAAGGGTATTTCTCCTCTCTTTTGTACACCAACCAATCGTTTGTGCTGTACATTTCCCTGTCGATTATTCAGCATGTTCTTACCTGTGCGCATTTTTTGCATGGTTCCTTCAGATTTCATAACATAGTGGCTTTTATGTTTTTTTTTTTTTTTTTTTTTTTCATCTGACCTGCCTTTCCTTGCTGCGCCCTTTATTGCAGCCGAAGGGCGCTTTGAGTGACACAGCTATCCGGAAGAAGCTTATGGAGAGGAAGAAGAGGAAGAAGCGGCGAGGGAAGGATGGAGATGAGGACGATGATGTGCGTATATGTGGCCTGCCAAGGAATGTTGCGTATGGCCTGCTGCTTCTGCTTGCGTTCTCGGCTCCTTTCATAATTTTCCTAGATGAGGTTCTTATGCGCTTGGGGTTGTGATATATTATACCAGTGCCATACATCATCAGTTTGTTTTATTTAGTTACTTTGGATTCATAACAATACCCTGCTTGAAGCTGTACGCTAATGAAACGCAGTTGTACAGTGCATAGGTATCCAAGTACAACTGTTCGCTGGGGCGGTATTACTGTGGGCGATTGGAAGTGGAAAACGGACAAGCTTCAGGTTGTCGACTGTAGCGCTGCAACTCCTTGCATGATTTGATCGTGGTTTTCCCGTTTTATTTCCCGATACGCTGTGGTTATGACATCCATATTTTATACAGTTTAATCCCCATTTTCTTGGGAATGCCAGGAGGAACAGTTTTTTCAACGTAACAAAAACAATAAGGGCAAAACAAAACTTACCCGCAGATGCCACAATTCAGAATGCTTGCCTTCGTGATGACGGTCCAGCCAGACAACAGCCGTACACTCGGCCGTCAATTTCGTCGTTTTCGATTCCTCAGCAATTGGGACTGCATTGACTTGGGTTGTGCTCCGTTTTCTTTCGTGTTGTCGGATCGCGGATTCTCTCATCGAATCGGCCACTACATGAAAGCGGGAAGGAGTTGCCCGCGCACGTAATTGGTAGGCGAGCGTCCCGCGCCCCGCTCCGTGGAGTCGAAGATTTGAAATGCATCGCATGACTATCACAAGATCGCAAGTCGTCGTCTGAAATCGTGACAGGTGACGTGGAAACTGTTTGTCGCAGACAGTTCCAGCCGCAACTGTCGTTCAAGCTCCCCTCCTTCAGCCGAGCTGTCGCAAACGTCGCTCACGTCGACGATCAGCCCCTTTTCGGTGGAGAGCATGTCGTACGGGCTGCGACGGGATGAGGCTTGTGCGACCGCCCGTTCCTCATTCTTCTCAATTCGCCCCTCCAGCAATTCTCCGCTGCGGCTAAATTTGAACGCATTTCTCAGATGCCTTGCCCGAAACGCAACTGCCAAAAACGCTCCTTATCACCGTAATGGAACCCTACTTGTATTTTATGTACCACTTTTCAGCTCATTTCAAACCACAATTTGCACAACCACGCCGCACGGCGCAAGGAGACCCACACACCATGCGCAGCCACTCGAACCACGGCGGCAAAGCACCAAAGCAGCCATCCAGCCATTCAGGCTACCCAAACCCAACCCAAGCCATACACCCACAACCCCACTCATCATCTCATCACCCGCTCACGACTCATGACCACGACCCGCCCCATCGCCCGTCCGCCAAATTCCGACGTCATGCGACTGGAAGTCAATGTCCTGTCCCTCAATTAGGTTACTTCCTCTGCTTCTCCTAGCCCGTCACGACGAGAAGCAAGGTGGCTGCAGAGAACACACAGGGGCGATCAAACAACCAAGCGTCCCACACAAGCCACCGCCGGTCTTCCTTCTGAATAGCCCTTCGCCACATGCCATTACGCTTCTGCGTGTCTCGTCGGACAGTCTGATTTGAATGTCTCAGCTCTAGAACCAAGAGAGGAGCGAATCTTCCGTCAACCTAGGAGATTATTCACGTAAACGGACCGCATTCCAGACTCGCGTAGTAGCCTAGGTTAATTCAGCGAACTGTCATTAGATGCGCAAAAGAAGCGGTGGCGTACGCTATATTCGGAGCAAGAATGCAGTGCGCTCTTAAGATTGAACAACTGGACTAAAGAGCGACACCGATTCTCTAGATATCTCGCGCGTTTCCATGATTTGGGGTGACTGAAGTCTCAGCACAACTGGTAGCATAGGGATAATAAACGTGGGGACGTGTCGGGTGGTGATTATATCGAGGGGCGGATGCCTCTCGGTTTTGCGGAATCCCAAGAGGAGGAACGCAGACACATGCCGCCTTCCGCGCATGCACCCCCATCCGCACATGCGCCTTCCGCCGCGCCCTCCGCGCAGGCACCCGCGCTGATGCCCCTCCCGAACGGCGCGCTGTTCGGTTCCGCCGTGCTCCTGCAGCAGCAGCAGCAGCTGCTCCAGGCGCGCGACGGGGAGGGCGCGCAAGCGCAACTCCATGCGCCGCAGCAGGGGCTGAAGGCGCCGCTACAGGCGCCGCAGCAAGCGGGCCAGACCGGGATTTTCAACGGTCATCAGACAGAATCGCTAGGCAGTAATGTTCACAATCCGATTCATGGATCGGGGTTTGGGGGAATGGGTGGGGCGGCGGGAGGCGCTGCGCCCGCGGAGCAATCAGGCGTGCGGGCGGCGGAGCAGCAGCAGGGGCAGGCGCAGCAGCCAGTGCAGCTAGCACAGCAACAACAGACGCAGTTTCTACAGCCACAGTCGTACCAGCCCGCGCAAATCCCACCGCAGTACGCGCCGCAGTATTCGCAGCAGCAGACGTTTGCGCAAGGGATGGTGATGCAACAAGGACAGCAGAACCAATACCAGCAGCAACAGCCTCAGCATCAGCCGTCGCATCAGCCGCAGCAGCAGCAGCAGCAGCAGCAGCAGCAGCAGCAGCAGCCTCTTCCGGTATTTCAACATCATCAGCAATATCAGCAGCAGCAGCAGCAGCAACAACAACAGGGGCAACAGCCTTTGCATCCGCCGTCGCTCCGCCCTCTCTCCCTCAATGGTAACGCGAGTATGCCTCACACCCCGCAAGACAACTCGTCCTTGTCGTCGATATCTTTTCTTCCTCCGCCTACCGCTCCCTCACTCGCTCCGCCTCAAAGCGTCACAGGCAGCAGCGCACTGGGACCCAGCGCCTCCGCGCAATTTCTTTCCCCGTCCAGCGGAAATCATCAGTCCATGCAGACACACCCGCAGCAGTACCAGCAGCAGCAGCAGCAGCAGCAGCAGCAGCAGCAGCTGCCGCCCCCTCAGCATCCGCAATACCAACCACTTCAGCAGCAACAGCAGCAGTATCCTCCCCACCAACCACAGCAGCAGCAGCAGCAGCCGCCGCCGCAGCAACTGCAACAGCAGCAGCAGCAGCAGCAGCAGCCCATCGTGCCCCCGCTCCTCCACCTTCCCCTTCCCGCGCTCTCCGAAGCCCCCGCGGCCCCGGCTCTCGCTTCCCCGCCCTCGTTGTCCTCCAAGTCCCCCGCGGAGGTTCATCCGCCAATGGAGCCGCTTCCGCCGCTACTTCCGCCCCCCGCCAACCTCAACTCTTCCGCCACCGCCGCACCGTCGTTCCCGTCTATCGGCCGCCCCCTTCCTTCGCTTGCGCACAACACCCGCGGGCTCCCTTTTGGCGGAACGAACGCAACCGGAGCAAGCTCCACGGGGAACGCCGCGGGTGCCGCCGCGCCGCCGCCGACCACCACCGCTAACTACACGACTCCCGCGGGCCGGTTGCGCGTGGGTTCTCACCTTCCGCTACTCGGCGGACGGTTCCGCTTCCGCGCAACGATCTCGGAAGGCGGGTCTGCGCGCGTGTTCGAGGCGGTGGATACCGCAGGCAGCTCCGCAGCTGGCGCAAGCGGAGGGGGCGCGCTTGGGGGTTTACCAACGGCGTCTGATCTCCAACGGGCGTCGAATCAAAACCAAAGTCAGCTACAACCGACCGTTGTGATCAAGGCGATGCACCGGCAGTATCGTGAGGTGGGACGGCAGGAGCTACAGCTGCTACATATTCTCAACTCGCTTCTGCCGGCCGCGGTTGGCGGCGCAGAAAACGGAAGCGCGGAGAACGGGGATCGAGAGCCGGACGGTTGTCCGGTAGTGCGTCTGATTGAACCGGGAGGATTTGATTTTTCCGGGCACATGTGTTTGGTGTTGGAGAAGCTTCACGGGTCGCTCCTCGATTACCTCTGTCGCCGGGCCGTCGAAGACGCCTCCTCGAAACCCGCCGCATCAGCCGCTGCGTCTCCCGGCGGCCCGTCAGGATCGTGCACATGCGCGGAGAACTCTGTTGCGGAGGGCGCGCGGAGCGGAGCAGTTGCGCGCGCGCCAGCGTTTCCCGACAGGGTGGAAGACGTCCGCGCGGTTGCGCGCCAAGTGCTCACGGCGCTGGCGGCAGTTCATTCGATCGGGTTCATTCACGGGGATATTAAGCCCGAAAATATCCTTCTCGCTGCGCCGATTCCAAGCGGAACTGCTGCGGTTCCTGCGGGAGGAGCGTCGGGTTCTGGGGGGCGGGTTTGCCCTGTGCATTCCCCGCGGCCAGCGCCGCTGAATATCAAGCTTGCTGATTTTGGAAATTCGTTCATGCAGCGGCAGGTGAAGGACTTGTGTCGGGATTTTGATGTTCAGACGCTCGCGTACCGGGCACCTGAAGTTTTGCTCGGGCTGCCCTTTGATAAGAGTATCGATCTTTGGTCGTTGGGGTGTGTTCTTTCGGAGCTCGCGATTGGCCGGTTGCTTTTCGTCTGCGATTCGCCCGCGCAGCTGCTTCGCCAAATGGTAGAGATGCTCGGGTTACCTCCTCCCGCTAAATTGTTTCGCAACGGAAAGCTCTTCCCGCAGCTTGCGAGGAGCGCGCGCGTGTACCCGTCGCAGCAGCTGGAGGAGATCGCAGGAGACGCGGACGGAGAGGGTGGGAAGGGCGTGGGCGACGACAACTCAGCAGAGAAGAACCATGCGACAATTCGGTAAGAATGTTTCAGGGGCAGCGGTGGGTGAGAATTTAGCTGCTGGGATAGCAAGAATACTTTTTTCAGGCATGACCGCCTGGAGAAGGAAGGGGGGGTTGGGGCGTGGTTGCCCAATCAGAAATCTGGATTGGCGGCGCGTTATGCGCGACGCGGCTGACGAGAAATTCGAGATTTGGATTGCACATTGTAGTTGGTGCAGGTGGAAAACAGTTTCGCTTGGCTAGGTATCATTCGCGTATTTTCGTCAAATGTGCGAAAACAAATCTCGAACCTCACGATGGCTGAGTAGTAGCATTCGCCAGTATCACGAAACAACTTGCGAAAACCGTCGACATCTCTAATCCCCCAAGTGCCCCTCCATATCACAAGCACCTTGAATTTCCTTATTGTCTCAACCTACCTATTTTCCTACCTTACCTCCCATTTGCAGGCGTGGCCGACTTGGCCGAATGCTGTTACAACACGATCCTCTCATGGCGGAGCTCATTTTCTCCTTGATGGAGTACGACCCAGCTAAACGCCCGTCTGCTCAGCAGGTGAGCTTCGTCTCGCGATTTCTTTCTCTTTTTCCTGCATGTGCACACAAACGACTTGAACACATGCAGTCAAAACCATACGGAATTTGACCATCCGTTTTCTAATGTATGTTTTTCGTATTCCCCCCCTCCCTACCCAGGCGCTACTGCATCCTTTCATCCAGACCTCCCAGAACGCGCAACCATCTGCGCCTCCGCCCGTCCCCTCCCCCGCCCCCTCCGCCTCCGTCCCCGCCTCCCCCGCGCTTCCCCCGCTCCCTGCCTTCACCGCCCCCCGCACCGCACCTCCAATCAAGCCCGAGCCTGTCTTAGAGCGTTCCGCCTCCTACCCTCTCACGTCAGGCTCGGCAGGAGGTTCGGCAGCAACCGGACCTGAGCCAATGGCTCTGGATTCCAGGCCTGTGCCTGTGTTCTCTCTTGGGAACGGTCTCCCAGCCACCGGTCCGTTCCAGCAGCAGCAACAGCAGCAGCAGCCGCAACAGCAGCCACAGCAGCAGGAGCAGCAAGGGCAGAACCCGCAGGAGCAGAATCAGCAAATTGGAAACAAAAGAGGGAGTAGGACCCCTGGTGCTGCTGCTTCTGCCGCTACTGCTGCAACTGCTACTGCTACTGCTGCTGCGGCTCCGGGGGCGGCAACGGCGGCAGCGGCTGTGACGCCGGGTGGTAAGCCACCAGCGAACCGGAGGGCTGTAGCTCGCAGCAAATCTGCCTCCGCAACCCCTTCAGGCAGGAACGCGGCTAGGGCTGCTACAGCCGCTGCCAAAGCTGCTGCTAAAGTGGCTGCGAGCGCCAGTGCCGCCACTCCAAAGGCTGCAGCAATGGCTGCTGCTGCTGCTGGTTCTCCTGCTGCTGCTGCTGCTCCTGGTGATACAGACGCTACAGCCGCTGCTACAGCCGCAGCAGCAGCGACTGGCACTGGCGTCCAGGGGCCCAGCGGCAATGCTGCTCCCTCTGGTCAACCCAGTCAACCCGGTCAACCAGGTCAATCTGGTGGTGCTGCTCCTGACTCGAAAAATCCAGGCGACGCGCTTCACTTGAAGCAGCTGTCCCAGAACTCCCTCTTTTCCCGTGCTGCATCGTTTCTTCAATCGTTCAAGGTGGCCGTTCCCACCCCTGCTGCCGCTGCTGCTTCTCCGGGGAGCGGAATCGGGGGGAGCGGAAATGGGGCCAATGGGAATGGGGGGGTTGGGAATGCGGCGGCAGCAAGAGGAGGAGCGGGAGGCGGAGGGGTTCTGGGCGGGGTTGGTGCCGGGGGAAGCGCTGGGGTCGGGGCAGCGGGGGCGGGGGAAGCGGCTGGGGGATCGAACCAGCAGCAGCAGCAGCAGCAGCAGCATCAGCAACAATTGCAACACCAACAGCACCAATGGCAGCAGCAGCAGCAGCAGCAATTTCACCACCAACAACAGCAGCAGTTGCAACAAGCATACGTCTCAACACCATCGTCTGTCACCACCACTAGCAGCAGCAACCCCCCCCACCGTATCACCCAACTCCCCTCTCTCACTCCTCTCCCCAATCCCGCCCTCCCCCTCCCCACTCCGCGCGCCCCCCCCGCCACCCTCCCCCCTGCGTCTGCGCCCTCCCCTTCCTACCCCCCCTCCCATCCCCCACAAACCCCTGCTCTCCGCCCCTACCCCTCCACTCACACTCACCCCCAAACCCATCCCAGCCACCTCACCACTCCTGCCGCCACCCACGTTACAAGCACACCCGCGTCCCTCCCTCCTCCCGTCTGCCCCTCCCCGTGCATTCTCCCTGCCGCTGCTGCTTCTTTCCAAAATCCCCAGCAGCAGCAACCCTCCCGGTCCCTGTCTCTCTCTGCTGTTGCAAACCCTGCAAGCGCAACCATGGGGAAAGAGCAAGGACAATTTAGCAGAAGCACGAGCAGTTATGGGAGTTTGATGCAACAGGCGTTGCCAGAAGGCGGACAGGTGCAGGGGCAAGGGGGAGCGACTCTCCCAGGAAGGGTCCTCACCTCCTCTGCCTCTGCGCCTGCGCATGGGTCGATGCTGCTTTCAGCTGCCTCTGCTGCTGCTGACGTTTCTTCTGGTGCCAATATCGGGTGTGCTAATAACGGAGGTGTAGCTAGCGGTGGCGCTGCTTCTTCTGCTGCTGCTCTCCCCGTGGGTATAGCCACTCCATCTTATGTCACACCCGCTGCAGTCACACCAGCTGCAGTCACACCAGCTGCCGCTCAAACGCCCACCACTCCTGCTGCTCCGTCCCTCACTCCCACGCTTCAACACTTCATGGGCCCTCCTCTTGGCCCCTCTGCTGCTTCCTCTCCTGCACTTTCTGCTGGTGGCGGTGCTGTTGGTTGTGGTGGTAGTGGTGGTGGTGGTGCTTCTTCCCCTGCTACCTATGCTGCACCCAGTGCTGGTGCGAGTGGTGGTGCCAGTAACAACATGAGCAGATTTGGGCTTCAGGTGCAAGCGCAGGCGCATAACGGTAACCAGCAGGGTAATTGTGGTAACCAGCAGCAGCAGCAGTATCACCAGCAACAGGAGCACCAGCACCAGCATCAGCATCAGCACCAGAACCAGCACCAGCATCAGTGTCCGTTACATGGTTCCACACCACACACTCACACTCACACTCCCTCGTACACTCCCTCACACTCGCAATCTCTACCCCATCCTCTCTCCCACACTCCGAACCAACCTCAAGCACAGCCGCAGCAGCAGCAGCAGCAGCAGCAGCAGCAGCAGCAGCAGCAGCAGCAGCAGCAGCAGGTGGGCGGCGTTGCTCGTCCGCACATGCTGCCCCACCTTACCCACTCCCAGTCCTTCCCTACCACTCACCCATCTTCCCATCCCTCCTCCTATCCTTCGCCTCATTCTCATTCCCGAGGGCGGCTCTCCCCTCACGCTCAACACACCTCTTCTCCTGCCTCTTCCGTTTGTCAGCACCAAAACTATCAACAGCAGCAGCAGCAGCAGCAGCAGCACCAGCAGCAGCAGCACCAGCAGCATCTGCAACAGCAACAGCAACAGCAACAGCAACAGCAACAGCAACAGCAGCAGCCGCAACAGCAACAGCAGCAGCAGCAGCAGCAACAGCAATACCAGCAGCAGCAATACCAGCAACAGCAACAGCAACAGCAGCAGCAGCAGCAGCAGCAGCAGCAACAGCAGCAACAGCATTACCAGCAGCAGCAACAACAGCAATACCAGCAGCAACAGCAGCAACAGCAGCAGCAGCAGCAGCAGCAGCAGCAGCAGCAGCAGCAGCAGCAGCAGCAGCAGCAGCAGCAGCAGCAGCAGCAGCAGCAGCAGCAGCAGCAGCAGCAGCAGCAGCAGCAGCAGCAGCAGCAGCAGCAGCAGCAACAGAAACAGCAACAGCAGCAGCAGCAGCAGCCGCAGCTTCAGCAGCACCATCACCAGCAGTATTATCAGCAGCAGCAGCCGTTGGCCTCTCACCCTTCCTCCTGTCAGGCTCCTGCCAGTCCCGTCAGCAGCGCCTCTACTGCTTTCCGTCCTGCACCCACTCCCGCCCTCCGCCCTGCCCCTGCTCCTGATTACACCTCGCCTCCTGCCGCTGGTGCTGGTGCTGCCAATGTTGCTGGTTCTCGTGCTTCTCCTGCTCCAGCTGTCGCTGCTGTCTTGGCTCTCTCGGGTTACCAGCAGCAGCAGCAGCAGTATGAGCAGCAATATCAACAATCGCAACAGCAGCAGCAGCAGCACAATCAATACCAGCAGCAACAGCAGCAACAGCAGCAGCAGCAACAGCAGCAACAGCAGCAGCAGCCCTTCAGCCATTTCCCTCAGTCTGCCGCTCCTGCCACCGAACCTGCCTCGGCCCAAAACTACCAGACTCCCTACCAAGCCTCCGCTGCAGGCCAGGTACCTGCCATGCCTTCCCGCTCCGGTTTGGCTGCGCCCTCTTCTGCCGAACCTGCAGGTTCGATGGGTGCCCCTCCCATACCTGCTGCTACAGGTATTGGCTCGGGAAGAGGAAATTATTGGGGTGATTCTCCCGCCAACACTTACGTAAGTGCTGCTCCCAGTGCATCTGCACTTAGCGGGGGTCCTTCCATCCGCTTGCTGTCCATCCCCACCGCATCTCCTGCCACGTCATCCATGTCTGCCGGCCCTGCCACGTCAGCTGGCCGTGCTGTCTCAGCAGCACCTGCCACGTCAGCAGGCGGCGCTCGGTCCCCACAAAGGGGTGCTGTGTCGTCTGGCTCAGCTGGCATGCTGAGGCTGCCAGGTGGCATGCCACATCAGCAGCAGCAGCAGTATTCGGAGGGGCATTCATGCATGCAGCAGCAGGTGCGGCATCAGCAGCAGCAGGGGCAGCACCAGCAGCAGCAGGGGCAGCAGCAGCAGTTCAGCATGCCTGTTGGCATTGCCAGGCCTTCAGTCTCGGCCAACCGACCTCTGCAAACTCAGCAGCAGCCGCAGCTGCAGCAGCAACAGCAGTGTCAAATGCACCAACCGCAGCAGCAGCAGCAGCAGTCACAGCAGCAGTTTCATCTGCAAACGCAGCAGCAGCAGCAGCAGCAGCAGCAGCAGCAGCAGCAGCAGCAGCAGCAGCAGCAGCAGCAGCAGCAGCAGCAGCAGCAGCAATCAGTGCAGCAGCAGCAGCAGCAGCAGCAGCAGCAGTATCAGCAGCAGCAGCAGGTGGGGCAATTCACATCTGTGGCTGGCCATAACGGATACCAAATGCTCCCACTCTCTTCCTTCACTCTCCCTCCTTCCCAACCGTCTGGTCCAACTCCCTCTGGGCTTGAGCAATCACCAACAGCTGGAGCGGAGGGAGAAGGAAGGGAAGGGGGAGGGACGAGCCCTAGCGTGCAGCAGCAGCAGCAGCAGCAGCAGCAGCAGCAGCAGCAGCAGCAGCAGCAGCAGCAGCAGCAGCAGCAGCAGCAGCAGCAGCAGCAGCAGCAGCAGCAGCAGCAGTTTCAACTGCAGCAACCGCCGCAACAGCAGCAGCAGCCGGAGGCGCTGTATTCAAGCTACAACCCCACCAGCAGCTACGTTAGCAGCTATAACCGAAGCTCGGGTCTTTCCAATACCAACACTCTCACCCCTCCTGGTCCGGTAGGGAGCCTGGGGCTGGGCGTGGGGTCTGGTGCTGGTTACAGGGATAGCCACAATGAGAGTAACAGTGGGGGGAACACAACAGCTTCGGTTCATGACTCTTATGGTGCTGGTGCTGCTGCTGCTTCTGGTGCAGCTGACGCTGCTGGTGGTGGTGGTGGTATTGTTGGGGCAGGAGATGGGGGTCTCGGAGTTGGAGGAGCAGCAGAGGCGATGGAGAGGGGAGCATGGGAAGGCAGGAGTTACTCTTTCCCTAGTGGTGCTGTTGTGGCGCCTGCTGATCCTGCTGCTCTGTTTGGTGCTCCGCAGCAGGAACAGCAGCAGCAGCAGCAGCAGCAACTGCAGTGGCAGCAACCGCAGCAGCAGCAGCAGCAGTCAATGCTCCCAGTGCCTTACAACACCACAGCAGGGGCATGTGAAGGGGAGGCCAGTGCAGCAGCAGGATCCGCAGCAGGAGGAGCAGCAGCAGCAGCATGCACACCCAAATCCCGGACACTCAACGTTGATCTCACAGATCTCCTCGAGATGGACGGTGGGGATGAGCTGGGGGAGCAAGGCGAGGCAGCGAGAGCCGTAGATGGAATAGAAGACGAGATCCTAGGTGGACCGTTCAAAAAGCCACGACTCTGGGACGAGAGGGAGGAGATGGTGGGGGGGATAGCGGGCGTTTCAGCCTCTTCCCCTTTCTCCTGCTTTGGCCGCCTGTCCCCGTTGTCACTCACAGAGGAGAGAGCGGAGAGCGGCGGGGAGGGGGGTGATGGGACGGAGATGGTGGGAGAGCCGGGGAACCGGGGCGGAGGGATCATGGGATTTGATATGAAGGGGGCTTCGTGGGACTTTCTGGACGGGTGTTTGGATTTCATTTGAGGGAGAATACAAAGGGCAGCAGCAGCAGCAGCAGCAGCAGCAGCAGCAGCAGCAGCAGCAGCAGCAGCAGGAGGAGGAGGGTAGGAAAGCTGTGGAGGAGAAGGATTGGCCAGCTAAGGCCTTACCTTGTCTGTATCCTAGCGACAATTTCTTTGACACTCAATTGTGTCTACTATGGGGTGTTTTAGTGTGTATGAGTTGGGGGTGGGGGAACAGGTGGTGAGGCCGGGAGGGAACAGAGGGGGAAGAGGGGATTGGGGCGAAAGACCAAGGAGGAAGGGGCAGTTATGTGGAAAAGAGAAGGAGCACTGCGGTGCTCCTAGTCTTGTGCTGCTAGTGCATCCGGCAACGGATTACACTTCCAAGTTATGATCGCGATTCATAATCAAGAAGACGAAGGATGGGAATCTGAGGGGAGGGGGGAGCGGGAGGAGGGAGTTGCTATCAGCAGCTAATTCCGACCGTGGAGCGGCTTGAAGTGACTTTTGGGTCGACTCAGAATTCGGCTTGAAAGATAAATCAAACTACCGTATATCTTTGTGTGAAGACCTCTGAAGACGAGTGCTCAACAGTTGGGCATCGACTAGGCAAAATTAATTTTCTGTTTTTTTCCTTTCATTTTCGTTTCTTTTCTTTGAATTGTCAGGGAATAAGCTGCCCTTCATAGTAGGGCCTGTTTCATCTATGCAGTGAGCTAAGGCTCCTGTTGTCGCTAAAATACTATTGCTAGTTGTGTTGTTTCTTATTTGTACTCTACCGGTATTTCCCTCCAAATGTTCCTGCTATCCTCTGGTTTAAAATGTGAAGCATTCTGCAATTCTGGTCCTTGTCTTAACACAAACGAATCTGAGGAAGGAAGGAATGCCAGTCAGACATTGTTGAATGAAAGGGGTCTCCTAGTGTAACAGGCCTGTTTTTTTTTTACGCAGGTTGTTCACTGTAGGTCATCTTTACACTGGTCAATATGTATTGCATCGACAATCAATAACAAGGTACACTACACACCCTTAATAAGCCTAAACGAGTCAACAGCAGCGGAAGTGTCGCACCCTTTTGCTGATTCTTGATGCGCAACGTAGACTGTTAGAATCCTAGCGTGACTTAGGAGCCATGGCTAGTGAGTGTCGAGAGAGTTGAATGTCGAGAGAATTGGAAAGGAGAATGAGGGGTTTCACTATGGAAAGTTGGGATACAAATAGCAAACCCTAAATTGGGTTGTACTCACTATAGAGTACCCCACTGCAGGCTAAACAGCAAATACATTCTGACACACCCCCATAGTCAAAGTGGGGTATAATCAGCAGAGCAAGCAGTCATAGAGCAGGTTCACAAGTACAAGCAAAGCTAGAGGCATTCACAAAGGGCAAGTGAGGAGGAGGCTGGACTGTAAGAGGAGAGTAGACAGGAGGCGACGGCTGATGCTGCAGACACACAAGCAACAGGAGCGGCGCGCACTGTGGCTACCGGAGCCGTATCCCCGGACTACAGGAGTAACTAGCTCTGCGGCTAACTCTGAGCGGCAGGAGCAACGGACCCACAGGCGACAGGCACAGCAGGCTCTCTGAGCTACCAGAAGCAGAGCCCCGGACTACAGGTGCTGCGGACGACAAGACGGCAGCCTCCGCTCAACCTCCCCCAACTGTCCCACCCCCCTTTCACACACCCCTTGCTGCACCCCTAGCTCCACTCCCACATCACCCCCCTAGCACCACTCCCTTGGCTCCCACACACCCACCCCCCTCAGCGGCAGCTGCAGCAGTGGGAGACAGAGGAGGAGGAGGAGCAGGGGACGGTTTACACACCCGCCACCCCCATACCCTCCACCCCGCAGTTGCACCCACACCCGCCACCCCCATACCCTCCCCCCACTGCTGCACATGCAGCAGGGGATGGAGGAGAAGGGGGGGGGGGGGGGGCGTGGGGGGGGCTGGTGCTGTAGATCCCCTCCCCCCCACTGTTGTGCATGGCGCGTGCAGAGGGCAGCAAGGCGCGCGAGGCGCACAGGGCTGCAGGGCGCGCGGGGCGCACAGGGCAGCAGGGCAGCAGGGCGCACAGGGCTGCAGGGCAGCAGGGCGCGCGGGGCAAACAGGGCAGCAGGGCGCACAGGGCTGCAGGGCAGCAGGGCGCACAAGGCTGCAGGGCAGCAGGGCGCGTGGGGCGCGCAGGGCTGCAGTGCGCGCAGGGCGCGCAGGGCAGCAGGACAGCAGGGCGCGCAGGGCTGCAGGGCGCACGGGGCGCAGCAGGGCTGCAGGGCGCGCGGGGCGCGCAGGGCAGCAGCAAGGGCTGTAGCGGCAACAGCAAGGGCTGTAGCGGCAGCAGCAGGGCAGCAGGGCGCACAGGGCTGCAGGGCAGCAGGGCGCACAGGGCTGCAGGGCAGCAGGGCGCACAAGGCTGCAGGGCAGCCGGGCGCGTGGGGCGCGTAGGGCTGCAGTGCGCGCAGGGCGCGCAGGGCAGCAGGACAGCAGGGCGCGCAGGGTTGCAGGGCGCACGGGACGCAGCAGGGCTGCAGGGCGCGCGGGGCGCGCAGGGCAGCAGCAAGGGCTGTAGCGGCAACAGCAAGGGCTGTAGCGGCAGCAGCAGGGCAGCAGGGCTCACAGGGCTGCAGGGCAGCAGGGCGCACAGGGCTGCAGGGCAGCAGGGCGCGCGGGGCGCGCAGGGCTGCAGGGCGCGCGGGGCGCACAGGGCTGCAGGGCGCGCGGGGCGCACAGGGCAGCAGGGCAGCAGGGCGCACAGTGCTGCAGGGCAGCAGGGCGCGCGGGGCAAACAGGGCAGCAGGGCGCGCGGGGCGCGCAGGGCTGCAGTGCGCGCAGGGCGCGCAGGGCAGCAGGACAGCAGGGCGCGCAGGGCGTGCAGGGCTGCAGGGCGCGCGGGGCGCACAGGGCAGCAGGGCAGCAGGGCGCGCGGGGCGCAGCAGGGCTGCAGGGTGCGCGGGGCGCGCAGGGCAGCAGCAAGGGCTGTAGCGGCAACAGCAAGGGCTGTAGCGGCAGCAGCAGGGCAGCAGGGCGCGCGGGGCGCGCAGGGCTGCAGGGCGCGCATGGCGCGCAGGGCAGCAGGACAGCAGGGCGAGAGGGGCAAACAGGGCAGCAGGGCGCACAGGGCTGCAGGGCAGCAGGGCGCGCTGGGCGCGCAGGGCAGCAGGACAGCAGGGCGCGCAGGGCGCGCAGGGCTGCAGATCCCCTCCCCCCCACCGCTGCACTCGCAGCAGGGGGATGGAGGAGAAGTGGGGGGGGGGGGGGGGGGGGGGGCGGATGCTGCAACTCCCCTCGCCCCCACTGCTGCTGCAGATCCCCTCCCCCCCACTGCTGCTGCAGATCCCCTCCCCCCCACTGCTGCTGCAGATCCCCTCCCCCCACTGCTGCACCCGCAGCAGGGGGATGGAGGAGAAGTGGGGGGGGGGGGGGGGGGGGGGGGGGGGCTGGGGGGGGCTGGTGCTGCAGATCCCCTCCTGCCTCCCCCTGAACCTCTAGGCTCCCCCCCTTCCCAACACAGGGTGCGGCAGGGAGAGAGAGAGGAGAAAAGGGCGGGGGGGGGGGGGGGGGGGGGGGCTGATGCTGCAAATCCCCTCCCCCCACTGCCGCTGCAGATCCCCTCCCCCCACTGCTGCACCCGCAGCAGGGGTGGAGGAGAAAGGGGGGGGCGGGGGGGGCTGGTGCTGCAGATCCCCTCCTGCCTCCCTCTGAACCTCCAAGCTCCCCCCCCCTCCCAACACAGGGTGCGGCAGGGAGAGAGAGAGGAGAAAAGGGCGCGGGGGGGGGGGGAGGGGGGGGGGGGGGGGCTGATGCTGCAAATCCCCTCCCCCCACTGCTGCTGCAGATCCCCTCCCCCCCACTGCTGCACCCGCAGCAGGGGTGGAGGAGAAAGGGGGGGGCGGGGGGGGCTGGTGCTGCAGATCCCCTCCTGCCTCCCTCTGAACCTCCAAGCTCCCCCCCCCTCCCAACACAGGGTGCGGCAGGGAGAGAGAGAGGAGAAAAGGGCGGGGGGGGGGGGGCTGATGCTGCAAATCCCCTCCCCCCACTGCTGCTGCAGATCCCCTCCCCCCCACTGCTGCACCCGCAGCAGGGGTGGAGGAGAAAGGGGGGGGGCGGGGGGGGCAGGGGGGGCTGGTGCTGCAGATCCCCTCCTGCCTCCCCCTGAACCTCCAAGCTCCCCCCCCCCTCCCAACACAGGGTGCGGTAGGGAGAGATAGAGGAGGAGGCGCGGCTGCAGCTGCTGCTGCTGAGGCACATCCGCCACCCCCTCACACCCTCACCCCCCCGTCCCCATGGAGGAGGGGGAGGGGGGGGGAGGGGGGCGGGAGCGGAGCTGCGCGTGCGACTGCAGGGCACGCGTGCAGGAAGTCAGCACCCCTCTTGCCATAGCTACGGGGCCTGGCGCTGGGCTAGGGACGGGGCCGGGTGCTGGGCAGGTACGGGGCCGGGCGCTGGGCAGGTACGGGGCCGGGTGTTGGGAGCGGAATGGGGCCGGGCGCGGGGCTAGGTACGGGGCCGGGCGCGGGCTAGGTACTGGGCCGGGCGCGGGCTAGGTACGGGGCCGGGCGTGGGCTAGGTACGGGGCCGGTCGTTGGGCGCGGAACGGAGGCCGGGCGCGAGGCTAGGTACGGGGCCGGGCGCTGGGCAAGGGACGGGGCCGGGCGCTGGGCAGGTACGTGGCCGGGCACGGGCTAGGTACGGGGCCGGGCGCGGGCTAGGTACTGGGCCGGGCGCTGGGCTAGGGACGAGGCCGGGCGACGGGCTAGGTACGGGCCGGTCGCGGGCTAAGTACGGGCCGGGCGCGGGCTAGGTACGGGCCGGGCGCTGGGCGAAGGACGGGGCCAGGTGCGGGCTTGGTACGGGCCGGGCGCGGGCTAGGGACGGGGCCAGGCGCGGGCGAGGTACGGGCCAGGCGCGGGCTAGGTACGGGGCTGGGCGTTGGGCACGGAACGGAGGCCGGGCGCGAGGCTAGGTACGGGCCGATCGCGGGCTAGGTACGGGCCGATCGCGGGCTAAGTATGGGCCGATCGCGGGCTAGGTACGGGCCGGGCGCGGGCGACGGAATCGACGGGGCCAGCGGGGCCGAGGGGCCGAGCTAGGGGCGACGGGGCCAAGGGGCCGAGCCTAGGGGCTAGGGGCGACGCCAAGGGGCGACGGGCCGGGGCCTAGGCTAGCAGGGCATTAGGTGGTGGGCCCATTGATGTGAGGTCCTAGGAACTATTGCTCTTAATACCATGTTAGAATCCTAGCGTGACTTAGGGGCCATGGCTAGTGAGTGTCGAGAGAGTTGAGTGTCGAGAGAATTGAGTGTCGAGAGAATTGGAAAGGAGAATGAGGGGTTTCACTATGGAAAGTTGGGATACAAATAGCAAACCCTAAATTGGGTTGTACTCACTACAGAGTACCCCACTGCAGGCTAAACAGCAAATACGTTCGGACATAGACGCAGTCTTCTATTAGGGTATTACTTGGTACCGTAAGCCCCCGGATAGAAGTGCCCCTGGGGATATAAAAAAACACTGTTCTTTAGGGGGTGCGCTTATAATCGAGGAATTTTATAAGCGTCGGCGTTTATAAAATGGCAAAGAGAAATTCTATCTGTTTTACACCAATTTGTAGGCATATTGTAATCGAGTCGAAAACATATAGGGTCGCGAATCTGATTCTCGCGCAACTTGGCAGGGAGTGATTCCCTGCCAACTCTAACTGACAGAATGACAGCACATGCTGACTAGACGCGCAAAAGGTGAGATCAGAGTGTGGGAAATCGAGTTTGTAGTTCGTTTCCCTCATAATGTGAAATTCGTTTCTGTATTTCGTCAGGTTTTCAAATGAAAAAACAACATGAGCTTATAATAAATCATCTTTTTTTAGGGGGTGGGCTTATAATCGAGGACCGGATATAAGCGCCGTCATCCTGTTATAAGCGCCGGCGCTTATCCGAGGCCTGCGCTTCTATCCGGGGGCTTACGGTACTACCATCCTTGGTGATCAGCAAAGGCCACCATCGTGCTATTATTCAGCACAGAATGCCATTACACCTTGCATGCAAGGTTGATGACAATGCTACCCCTGGTGAAAAAAAAGGCAATGTATCAGCAAATTGATGAAACAAAAGTAATAACTCAAGCAAACAAGAGGGAAACATTTGGCTTGCAAGGCACACGGTTTGAGGGTTTACCGATTGGTGTGGGAGGTGAAAGCCTGGGTGCTGGAGTAGGCCCATATCATGTTGTTACCCGTGTAACTGTTAGGACCCACACCACCCTTGCCTGAACGAGTGAACCTGAAATGAGATGAAACACACGGGAAATACGGAGAATGTAACGCCATAAACTAAAAGTGGAAACGACCTCGGAGGTGCATGAACGGGCGGCAAGATGGCGTACGATTTGTGCATCACGGCTTTGCAAAGCGGATGGCGAAACTCACTTCACAATCTTGCCACCGTCAGCAGTGGTAACCACGGATTTGTCAAAGTACGCTGGGTTCCAGGGTTTAGGGTTTAGGCTGGTTTCTGTGCTTGGTTCCAGCTATGGGGCCGAGATCTACGCTGGGGCCATGGCTGCACAGGAGCTACGCTGGCTGACCTACTTGCTGACCGACTTGGGGGAGCGGCCTCGTTCTCCTCCAGTTCCGTATGTCGACAACAAGGCCATGCTTGCCTTGTGTCGAGAGCAGAGACAGGAGCACAGAACGAAGCACATTGCTCTTCGCTACTTTCTTGCTCGAGAGCTGCAGCAGTGTGGTCAGCTTCGTCTTTCTTACGTGGCCTCTCGGGCCAACACTGCTGATGTCTTCACCAAGGCCCTCGGGTCTGGTGATCTTCAGCGTTTTTGCACTGCTCTTGGGCTTCTGCCTGTTCTACCTCACCTAGTTGTCTCTTGATCTTGCACTTGTTGTACACTGATATATATATATATATATTTATACCTGCATGTTTCCTCTTGCTAGGTTGTGATGAGTGTACTGCCTTGCTATTATAACTCTACATGTGAACTGGCCTTGTGGCCGCTTGTTTGTGCTCGGATTATGTGGTGTCCTTGAGATCCACCCTGAGTTTTGTTTTGCTTTGCTCTGTTGTCCTGCTTGAATTGTCTTGTGACCGTCTTGTTGTCCCCCACTTAGCCTATGGGGGTGTGTCAAAGTACAATCTTACTTGTAAGCTATAGTGGGGCACTCCTTATGGGGTACGACACTTCTAGGGTTAGTACTTGTACCCCAACTCTTGCTAATCCAATCATTCATGCACAGTTATTCTGACAGGATTTTGCCGAGAGCTTCACTGCAGTTGACTTCTTGACCTTGTTTGCTGTTTGCCACTCATCGTGTAGGCTAGCACGTTCAACGCTGCCAGATTCTCCACCACTGTGTCAGCGGGAGACATGAGGCCAGCTTTCGCTGTCCAGCCAATGGACATCGAGCCGGTCTCAGCACCACTGCCGGACTTCGCCTCGAGTGCAGCGATGATTCCGTCGTTCGTTTTAGTGATGTTCCAGTGCAGGAGAATCAGTATGGCGGGAGGGAGCATGGGAACGCCGGCAAAGTGTAAGACGAATTTGGTGTCGCTGCAGCGATGATCCCGTCGTTCTTTTTAGTGATGGCCTTGTTCTGCAGGCGCATCAGGCCGCATCAATGTACATTGCTACAATTTCCCTGCGTTCCAGGATCCTTCTTTGATAACCTGCCGACAGGTTATCAAGGCTCGCGATAAGCGCATGGCTGCCGGGGTAAACCAAGCCCGAATGCCTGCAGAACGGCCTTTTTGGCCCTTGAAATTTGTAATGAGACCGCGTTCCAAGAAGCTTTCTCTCCTAGCAATCGGGCGCATTTGAAATGCGCGCATCATGCAACTTCGAAAAATCGTTTCATGCGCGCATCATGAAAAATCGAAGAATCATTGCAACCTCATTGGCCAATCAGCGACACCTAACTTCCGAGAAACCTGTAATATTCAGAATGCTGAGATTCGTCAGGAAATTGAATGTCCAATTTCCTGACCTCAATCCAATTTCGTCAAATTTTCCAAACCTCAATTCCAAATGTATGAGCCTCAATTTCTCAATCTCCACAATCAATTTTCTGAACTTCAAATTTCCAATGTGCGCATCAGGCCGAGCCTCAGGCGCATCAAAGCTAATGCGTCTGCAGAACATGACCGATGTTTCCATCGCGGAAATGGAAAATGTCGAAATTGGGGGTCCAAAGGGTTTTCTACGAAAAAACTGCGTCCGAGTTGCGCGAAGTGTCCAAAAAACAACGCTCGCGAAACGCTACATTTCGTACACCAGTACCGGATGTTTTCACGGACACAAAACCGTCACCCAAAAGTTGCATTCCCGTCAACATTTTCGCGTCAATGGTTTTCGCGCGTTCGAAAGAGTTTGCAAGCGGTAATGCAGAGTAACAATGACAGTGGGATGTAACCACAAAAGTAACGAAGCAAAACGACCCCACGAAATCTTCACAAAATCCAGCGAGGATGCAAAACTGGATACCTTGTTCTCGTTTTTTCTCAAACCTGAACCCCAACCACCCAATCATGACAGACGCTAGATGGTTCTTCAGAGGTGTGACGTGTGAGCCCAAATATCATTTTTAGCCAATCACTGTTAATAGTCCCTCGAACCATTTTGAACACGCCAGCACACCCACCCTATCCAAACCAAACCAAACGCCAACCTCACCGTTCCATCCGCCCACCTCATCTTTCCACCCCATAGCAGACCAGGCAGATTTCCAGCATTCACACACTTATTATCTCCTACGAACACACAACACACACTTCGGACTGCAACTCTCTTCAACTTCTGCAATTCTCTTCAACTTCTGCAACTCTCTTCATAACCTCCGCTCTCCTCGTCCAACCCTTCTTAACTCTCAGATACGCATAGCTTGCCAAGCTGCTGCCCATCGACAGTCTATGTAAGTACTCCCCCCTC